TTTTTTTTTTTTTTTTTTTTTTTTTTAAAAAAAATATAGATGATGAATTATTTAGAATATGGTTACTAATATAGTGGATGGAAAGTTAATAAAGCTATTTAAAAAAAAAACTATTTTCAATCTATTTTAATTTAAAAAGCCTAATAAACATCCTTATAATGGCAAAAAAATTTGCTCTCTCGACCAACATTTATTTTTTAAATAAGATGAAAGTTCAAAAACATCTTAATAGAATTTATTTTATTGAATAAAATTCAATAACATTAAATTAGCATTTTTTATCATTAAAATTTAATTGACCAATAATTTTCTCTCTTATTTGTTATAATTGGGTGACTTTATTTCTCCACTCTAATATCTAGGGGCCCAAAATAAATAAAAATAACTTTTGAACAAAAATCTATAAAGAATGAAAAAGAAGAAAAAGGAAAATAGATGGACCAACATGTATTTTTTTTTTCATGTAAATTTGAGTTTGGGCATGGTTATCTCTTTATTTTACACTTTAATCCTATTTTTTGGAATGTTTAATTTCTTAATAGTTTTTTAGAAATTGATCATTAATTTGGGTATAAAAGACTACAATTGAAAAAAAAGAAGAAGTTTAAGAGTTAAATTTGAAAACTTCTTTTTTTTTTTCCTGTTAATGTGAATTACTATAGTGCAAAGCATAGCCTTTTTAGCATATGTTGTAAGAAGTAGACATGGGTAGAGAAGATTTGGCTAATTGCAGTTTCAAGCAAGTGCAACGCAATGATAATTTGGGAGGTCAAATTTTGATGTAGTGGTTGGAATTATATGATTATTTTTTAAAGTGTTTTTTTATTTATAAATATATTAAAATAATAATTTTTATTTTTTAAAATTTATTTTTAATATAATATATCAAAACAATTGATTGAAAAATATTAAAAAAATAAATTGTAAATATTTTAAAAATCAAAGCTATACTACATAAATAAGCATAGCTTTATTTGCATCAAAGGATTTTGGCACCATGAATATTATTATTATTAAAAATATATTTTACTCTCATAATAACTTCACTTATTTAAAAAAAAAAAGTTCTTTTTAATATTAATTTAATTTTAAATTTTAAAAAATTAAAAATAAAATAAACCTAAAACAAATCCATTAGATGGACGTTGATGAAGTACTTATGCTTGTATTTTATTTTATTTACTTTGGCTACATGCATGTCCTTTTAATGCAGGAGGATTTTCAAGGGAAGTTTATTTTTTTATTTAATTTAGAAAAATATTTTTTTATGATGTTTTTATTTTTTAAATTGTATTTTATTTATTTATTTCGTTATTTAGCTTATGATTTTATTCAATTTAGAATTAGAATTAGTATAAATAAAATTATTTAGTTTATATTAAAAAAAACCTAAAAAAAAAATACATGACAATGGGATTTAATTTTCAAGTTAGAAGTTTTATATCATGATCTTAATCAGCGAAATTCGGTGTATTATTATAGGCTTTTTGGATTGTTTCTTCTGCGTCACTTTCCTTCTTTATTTAATAGGTTGCGTGCCTCTCGCAATTTGTAGGGGTAGGACCCAAATATTTTATTGTGCCAGGTCACCCCTCACCAGCAATAGCGCCGGAGTTTTTTATAGGGGACTCAGAAATTAACCTGATCAAAAGTTGAGAGAGAGAGAGAGAGAGAGAGAGATGGCAGAAATGTACTGCTACAGGGAGGCGTTGCCCTTCGCAGCCATGGTGACCATGGAGTGTATCAACGTCGGCTTAAACACACTTTTCAAAGCAGCTACTTTGGCGGGTATGAGCTACCATGTTTTCGTTCCCTATGCTTATGCAGTAGCTGCTGTTGTTCTCCTTCCTGCTCCTTTCGTTTCCCACAGGTTAGTTAATTCCCTCTTTCCCTCTTAAGTACCTAGTAAAATATAGTAATTGCTACATGTATAGTTGGTTTCTGACAGAAAATGCATGGACTAATTATCTGTATCATGTTGCTTTGATTTTTATGCAGATCAAGAGTACTTCCTCCACTGAGCTTCTCTGTACTCAGTAAAATTGCTCTTCTCGGGCTTATAGGGTATACATATTCTTGACACACAATATTTATCAACTGGAATTGAAGTTCATGTCTAGCCTTAAATTCTTTACTTTCAGTGAAAATCAAGCGAGTAGTTTTCTCTGTTTCTTAGTTACAATGATTTGTTGTGTTAATGATCGATGGAGTAGGAGCTCGTCTCAGATCATGGGCTACACTGGCATCAATTATAGCTCACCAACTCTCGCTTCAGCCATCAGCAACCTCACGCCAGCTTTTACTTTCATATTTGCCATCATCTTCAGGTACTTTCCTCTTCTTTTAATCTCTGTTATTTACATGAAGAATTCACCTCTGGTTTTCTTTTATTTGGAGCTTAATCTTCCGAAACAGTTCACAGTGTTCGTTTATTACAAGGATTTTAGTTTTTATTTGTTAGAATCTTGCTTTTCTTTGATTGGTTAGATCCCTCGGTCCCTCCTTGACCTAGCTCTCTCAACTTTTCCTTCATTTAGAGGACGATCGATGCTTGATAACATGAACAACTTGATTTGAAAATATTTTTATTGTCAAAATAAATAAATAAAATTCTGAACAATTCATTGAAAAATCTTGCCAAAGAGACAAGCTACACACACGCACGCACGCACGAAAAGCAATCATGGTTGTTTTTTCTCTCTTGTCATTATTTTCCATTTCATTGAAGTGACTCTCCTTTTTATGTTCTCTTAAAATCTATCTGGAAAAAATATATAGAAAATCTATTTTTTGTGAAATAAAAGATATAAAATTTATATTATATTTTTTAAGGACCAATAAGTTTACTTTTATAATTTCATTTCAAGAAAACCAGATTTTAGTATACTATTTACATTACCCTTTTCATTTATTGTTTAAAAAATTCTATCGAGAGGTTATTTTTTCTCAATTATATAATTAGTTCATGATTCTAATATAAAATCAAGCGAAACTATGATTATATTTAAAAAAAATTATATTTATAAATTCTTTGGTAAACAAATTAATGATCATTATCATAGTGAGATGCTTCAAACTTTATTTTTCATCAAAATCTAAACTCGTACCATAATTTCATCACAACATGAGTCCTTTAGTTGTTTTAACAAAAAAAATCAAGAGAATGTGTATTTTGGCTAAATGGCCAAAAATATATTTTATTATATTATAAAGTTCTTCCTAGAGAAAATGGTAAATAGCAAGATATAATACATGGAAAACATTGAAGAATTCACCTGATCATGTAAATCGAAGAAGTGAACTTAATTGTGCTAGCTTTTCTCAATGTATTAACACCTAAAATTAGAGCAAATTATTAATTGAAGAGAAAATAATTAGAAGTATGATAATAGTTATTTTTTAAAAATATTTTTATTTGAAAATATATTAAAAAAATATTTTTAAAAAAATGAATTTTTATATCAACATATCAAAATAATTTAAAAATATAAAAAATTAATTTTAAATAAAAAATCAAAATTTACCTAAATCCCTGTCTAATATATATATATATATATATATATATATAGTAAGGAAGGAAGCTATTAAGTATATAATAATTGCTGGACGGTTTCAATTATTTTCGAAAGTTGAAAGATGAAAGTCGTGCGAGTCGAAACCAGAATTAAGGATGTAGACTTGAAAAAACAATAAAATTCTGATTCTCTTACCAAGTTGTTTTCTTTCAAGGACCACTCAACACAACACAACAAAACTAGTTATTCTTCTTTTATATATTCATATTTATCTTTGCTTTTTATCAAATTGCTATCAAAGAATGGAAAGGGTTGCGTTACGAAGAACAAGCAGCCAGGCCAAGCTCCTGGGCACCATCTTGTCAATTGCAGGTGCTTTTGTAGTGACTCTCTACAAGGGCCCGCCAATAATTATATCGTCGAAATCCTCCGTTCCGCTCAGTCAACATCTTCTAATTATATCGTCGAACTCCTCCGTTCCGCTCAGTCAACATCTTCACTCGACAAACAGCAATTGGATACTTGGTGGCATACTTCTCACTGCCGAGTATGTTCTAGTTCCGCTATGGTACATTCTTCAGGTATACTATACAGTATCACATTATTGCTTAATTTCTCTCGCTTGCTTCTGTAATTGCGTTAAGAATCTAGAATAATGTTTCTTGATTTACAGACACAGATAATGAAGGAGTACCCGGCAGAGTTAACGGTGGTCTTCTTTTACAATCTAACTGTTAGCATCATAGGGGCAATTGTTGCACTAATTACAGAAGGAACTTCGAGTGCTTGGTTAGTGCGGCCAAATATAGCACTAGCTTCCATTCTTTGCTCGGTGGGAGACCATTGCGAAACAGACAATTTGCTTTTATTCGCCGCTGTATATATACAGTTTCTAATCCTTAATCGGTCTTTTGTGTGTGTATGCTGTGCAGGGTCTCTTTGGGTCATGCCTGAACAATACTGTTCACACATGGGCTCTGCACTTGAAGGGACCTGTCTTTGTAGCAATGTTCAAGCCATTGTCGATTGCCATTGCTGTTGCGATGGGCGTCATGTTCCTTGGTGATACTCTTTATCTCGGAAGGTTTGCCAAATCTCTCAACCTGATTTATATACAGTAACACAGCTATAGCTTGCTCCACTCTAAGCTTCGTGATCGACATGCATGAAAATACATAAAGAAAATTGATTTTTGCTCCTCCTTCTTTCCCTTTGAAAATATATAGAAATATTATTACCTTTGGCTAGCATTATTGACAAATATAATAAAATTCATTATAGGAGTAATTCAACTAGAAAATCTAGAGTCGAAGAAGAGAGCGATTCATTATAGGAGTAATTCAACTAGAAAGTCTAGAGTCGAGAGAGAGAGAGAGAACATTTCCAATTGGTTTATTGTTTCTGTTAATGAAGGTTTAATTCATCCCTGAAAACGATTCTAGTACAGCATATTGCTTTCATCCCTGAAAACGATTCTAGTACAGCGTCATACAGCATATTGTTGAGTTCATCGTCCCGCAAAATCAAGAGAGCACAAAGTCTCAGAATTAACTATACCTTAGTCCCTGTAGGTTATTGAAACTATTGAGTAAGTCCATGTAATTTAAAAAATAATCAAATAGTAAGGATTAATTGATTAGTTCTGTTAAACTACAAACCAAATTATAATTAACTCCATAATCTCCATCAACTTTGAGATGTATGCAAGAAAAACACAAAGCTTCTTTATTTCGTGTGAATTTTTGCAAACTCTATCCTGTATTTTGCAGTTTGATCGGAGCAACAATTATATCTATTGGATTTTACACCGTAATGTGGGGGAAAGCCAAAGAAGAGCTGGGTGATGATTGCAATGCTGCTAAGCCGGAATCCTCGTGTGCCCAGAAGGTCCCTCTATTACAAGGCTACAACGCTACGAAGCTACAAGATGAACAAGCGTAGGTAGGAGCAGACAGACTTTATATGTACATAAAATTAACGGCAAAAGCCAAATTGTTCGACAACCATCCAGTTCTTGGAAAAGAAAATGGCATCCATGGTCAGGCCTTGGTTTGTATATTGAGAATTGAGATCCTCAAACTCTCCCAGCTCTAGTCAGGTAATTGCACAAGTTCACATCACACTTATGTCAAGAAAACCTTTCTTTGAAGGCTACACATTGATGAATCACAAATTTATTTATAATACACAAATGCTAAGTTGTGATAAGGATAAACATATGATAAAAATATAAAAATTGTTATACATGATACTAGTTATTTCATCTGATCTGAGCGTCGTAATGCATCATAAGGTTTTTTTAAAAAATTCATGGGTATATAGGTTATTTTTTTTAGAAAAATTTAAAATATAAATCAAAATGTTTGTAAAAAAAATTAAAAAAAATTAAGAGATAAATATAAGTCAAGATATTTAATATTACAATATTAGTTATTTACCTGGTTATATTTAATAAATTTATTTTTCACAAAAATCAACACACATTAAATAAAAAAAAAGAAAAATATTGCATGCAAGGCTATATAAATTAAAAACTTTGTAAGAAAATAAATGTTTTTTATTAAAAAAATAAGTTTAATCTATATAAAATATAAAAATAAATTATAGATTAACCAAACTAACTTTATAAAAAAATCAAATATATTCTATGTAATTAAAAAAATAATTATTATTTTAAAAAAGCTAAATAAGTAAAAGAAATCATATAGAAGGAAATTAATTAAAACACAAATGCAAAAATTATTTTGAAAAATATATATAAAAAAAATTAAAAAAAATGTTTTTCTTTCATAAAAAGAATAAGGCAATGCAATGTGGCCTTGATAATTTAGATTTTGTACCTAGTCCATAAAGTAAGGCCATTTTTTCTTCTTCTTTAAAGTGAATGGAGTGGACGATAGTCATCCATCCCATCATTCTTTGTCAAAAATAAAAAAGACAACACATCTTTCATCTATCTCAATAGATCAATGTTGTATGTTAATGCTAGTATATGGCAATTGATATGGTTTTCTTTTATTTTTCACCCAAAAATTTATTTTAACCCAGAACATCTAAAAACATTCTATGAATCTTATTAAATTAATTTATGATTTTTAAAAATACAAAAACCATAAATCAATTGGAAACTATAAAACCTTTTGTGGCTAGATATGATTTTTACATGTTTTCAAGAAAAAATCACATGATAGTAACCCCCTCATTATATATAATATTTTGACATAAAAATAAACTATTTTGATAGTTTAAATTTTTCTAACAACAAATTTATCTTTTTTAAGCTAGCGATTTTTGCTCTCTCCTTCACAAAAAAAACCAAAAAACAAAAAAAACAAAATTTATTATTAAAATTTATTTGTGTAAAATTATAAGCACTAGTAACCTCATAGTTAAAAAAGATGGAAGATGAAAGTAAATTTTTTAAAAAAATTTAAATTTATCTTTTATGTTATCCATATTTTTTATTTTAGTTTCATGTCTTTTAATTCAATCCAAAAATTATACAATTGGACTTCAATTTAATATGAAAAGGTCTCAATTATACAAATAAAAATTTTAAGAACCAAGTTGGTTTTTAAAAAAATCTCATTATGACAATTAACAATGAAATATGCAAGAGAGAATAGTAAATGTGCCTGTAGTAAAAGAGCCACACCTTTTATATTATAGTCAATGGTTTCTAATATTTCCTTTTAATTTGATTTAGAATCATAAAAATTCAAATCAAAATGGCAAGGGTTTTGATATAATAGTTTATTTTTAATCAAATCCATGAAATTATTTTTAATAAATTATAATTCATCCAAAAGTACTTTTAATTATTTAAGAGTTCTATTTATTCTTTTCTTTACTAAACTATATATCTTGCTTCTAAATTGATAATTACCTCAATTTTGTGTTATTTCCTTAAACTACATTGGACATTCTTATATTTGTATGATTGTAGTACATATAAGGTATATTTTAACATATAAACAAAAACTCATATTTTATAAAAAGTATTGCATAATTTTTTTTCTCTCAATCCTTAATGGATGATGAGAGACTGCGGAATACAAAACAAAATAAGTTCAAACAAAATTATAGCCGTTAGAAAGGCCTCAATATCAAATGAGTTCAAACGAAATTCGACCGTTAGAAATATATCAACCCTAAGCCTCCATCATTCACCCCTCTCTCTGAAGAAAGGAAAGCCACTTTTCTCTGGATTCAAATAAAAAAACCAAGAAAGACTCCAAAATGGTGAGTGAAGAACAAAAGGAGAGTCCTAGAGTCCGGATGCAATCAAACCCAGTTGACAATAGCCAAAATATGGAGAATCTTTTCAGTCCCAGATTCAAATCCGTGGCTGCCATGGCTGGTTGGGACGAAGAATCTATCCTTTTCGCAAGCCTTATTGTTGAAGACACGCCAGAAAGACAGTTCAGACATAAGAAACGCTCCGATTTGCACTTCAAGACTCCACCTTCAACCAATACAAGAAGGTACTATTTCCAACAAGACCCACCAAAAAGAAAGAAGTAATTTTCTTAAAGCTGTACCCCCTTTTGTTCCTAAGAAGATTTTGATGAGAAAAATCAAAACTTGGAAATCCTAGCTTTGATTTCAAATACTTACTCGTTTCTCTTATTTCTTTTTTAAAAAAAAATGAAAGGGGAAAAGCTAAGTATTTTCTTTGTCCGTTAGGAAGCGGAGGGATCAGAAGAAGAGTCCGATTTCAATTCCTGTACCTATTCTAAATCTTGAAGAAGAGGAGGAACTTGTAATGAAAGGTACTTTCCCTTTTATCTTCTTGAAATTGGGTTATTTGTGCTTCCAATTTTTCATGGCTAAGAATTGAGAAAGTCAAATTCTTTTGATGTTTTGGGTGAAAAGAAAGTGAGAAAAAGAAGACGGAGACGAGAATTGCTGTAGATGAAGAAAGTAAATTAGGAGGAGACAAATTAGCTAAAGACAACCCTGATGCTTCTTGCTCAAACTCAGCTCTTCCTTGCATGGATAAACTTAGAGAAGAGCTTTCTTGTGCTGTAAGAGTCTATATTTTTCTTGTATTGTTTTCTGTTTTGACTTTAGTCGACTGAAATACACAACTGTATTTTCTTTCTTCTTTCTTTATTACTTTTTTTTCTTTTTCAATTGGGGTTTAATGCTCTTGTTACTCTTGGCAGATTTGTTTGGAGATTTGCTTTGAACCCAGTACCACTTCTTGTGGACACAGGTAAAAGGAAAACACAACTTTGTACCTTTTGGCTTTCCTTGTAAGAAATGGATCTTCATTTAGCCATTGGATTTCTCTATAAGAGAGCAATTAAAGGGCATATTACTTTATTTGATTCCGATGAGGGCTTAAAATATGGGATTCTCTAGTTGTGAGTTAGTTTGAACAGTTATGTTCATGTATATTGTATACAGCAGGGATCGTTTCATTTATATTAATGGAGTGGTTTCTCTTTGTTTGCAGTTTCTGTAAGAAATGTTTGCGATCTGCTGCTGATAAATGTGGGAAGAAATGCCCAAAGTGCAGGCAACTGATAGGGTGAATTCAATTACTATCTTCGAATTTATTAGTATCTAGGTTTAGTTATGGGGGATTTTGAAGTGGTTAGACAATTTTTTGACATTGCCTTGTTGTATTGTGGGAATTGCAGCAATAGCAGATCCTGTACGGTGAATACAGTTCTTTGGAACACAATACAGCTTCTGTTTCCTCAAGAAGTTGAAGCAAAGATGGCATCGGGCAGGAAAAACCAGAAAGAGCATCGAAGCTCAGAAAGAAAAACCAATAATGATTTAGGAAGCCGAAACGTTCGGCCTTCCAGAGCGTCATACAGAGACACAACAAGCGTTCAGCCTTCTAGGGTGCCAAACAGGGGAGCGATTATCAATAGAGGCATGTTGCGCCAAGATGACCCTTCTACTAGAGTGTCAAACAGAGATGCAAGTACGAGTAGAGATATGTGGAACCAAGACGAGGAGGATACTCCATTGGTGCAAAGATTGCGAAGAAGAGAAGCTCTTGAGCGGCTAATATTAAGCAGAGAAGCAACTGGGAGGAGAAGAAGAGGGATACCAAGCCAAGATGAGGATACTGCATTAGCTCTAAGGCTGCAGAGAGAAGAGTTTATGGAAGCTTTTGGGGGAACTCAAGAGCAATCAGGAATCTCTCTTTCATCAGCTAGAGCAAACTTGAGAGTCATGGCATCTAGAGCCGCCATTAGCATTCATTCTAGAGGCCGGCCTATATAGTTCTTGAATGTAGTTCCTTGACATTTTGATGTTTGGTTTGTATCACCAAATCCTTGATATTTTGAATGTAGTTCCTTGACATTTTGATGTACTCCAACTCACTACTGCTGGCAATTGTTCCACACCTAACTGCTCTCCTCATCTGTTTGCCATAATAACATTGGCCTTGCTGTTACTTTTGCATTTGTGCCTTCTGATGTCCTTTGTGCATGTAAAATAAAGGGGAATGTGAATCTGCAAGATTCATGGGACTTTGAACTCCCTGTTCCTCTGTTGTTGTCAACACTGTTTTGTTTTCCATGATTTTTAATGGAACATTTGATAGATATATATCTGTTTATAGGCACATGATATCTTATTTCAAATATATGTTTGATTTTTACACATTTTCCAATTAGCTTCCTTTCTCTTTTTCTTATGGGAAACAACTAAATAAGAAAAAAGGCTAGCTGGACCCAATTAAATAAGAAAGAAGCTTGGATAACAAATATAACATTGGACACGAAGTAGCATTCCATATGCTCTTTTAGTGTGCCTATGATAATATGATGCATAATGATTTTGTAAAAGGTTTTTTCTTAATTGAGAATATATCTAAATAATTTTTTTATATCAATATATTAAACATTGAAAAACACTTAAAAACATTAATTTTAGATAAAAAAATTTAAAAAAACATTTTTAAAAAATAAGTTGAATCGCAAAAACAAAACATTTTTAATTAAATGGATTACTTAGATAATAGTTAGAAGTTCATTTTAAATAGAAATAAATTAATAGATATATCTGAAACTAAATTAAAAGTAATACCCACTCACTTTTAAATATGAAATTTTGTTGAAAAATATTTTTTGATAAAAATACTTTAACATGAAACATCAACTTGTTTTTATTAAAAAAATAAGAATAAATGAAAAATTAATTTCAAAGAATTCATGAGAATATTATCATGGTTGATATTTTTTATAAATCCAAAAATCGTCAATTCCACATTGAAAGCTTATAAGACTCTTTTGTAGCATATATAATAAGAAGTTGAAGAGTAAAAATTGAGCATTAAAGCACCAAAATAGTTAAAGAATAGAAACCGTACACTAAATGGGTTTTAGACTTAAGTCATATGCTTTGGCTCGAGTTTAGATTTGCTGTAAAATAATTTTTTGATTTATAATTTTTTTTTAAAGTGTAACCTTCTTAAATAAACAATAATATTCCTCTCACTGAATAATTTTATTTTCTAAGTAAAAATATTTAGTTATTAAAAACAAAATTGTCAAGTTTTATCTTTTATGATAGGTAATTAGGGAAAAATAATGAGAATTAATTTAGATAATTATTAAAATTAATTTTGCATCAATTTTGGTTAAAAATTCATAACATAAAAGAATTAACATAAAACAATAACTCTTTAACCTTTTCTCCTTTGCTTTTTCCAATATTTTTGCTTTGTTTTTCCTTTAGTCATTAAATTCAAGTTTTTTCATAAAAAATAATTTTTATTATGTTTTTCTAGTTTGTGGGCCTTGTTTAGTAGTGCAATTAATCAAGGTGGTATTTTTAGAATCCTATTAAGCTAATTACAATTAATCTATTTGCACCAAATGATAAATAAAATTTTAAAAATAAATGATACGTGATAATGATGTGATCTACTTTATTATTATTATTATTATTATTCTAAATACTTTAATAAGTAAGTATACTAACCAATCTTGAAAACTTATTTCGTTAAACAATCATATAATTCAAGTCATTCATGTAATCAATGTAAAAACACAGGTTATTTGATTTATATACATCCTCTTAAGGATAAAAGTTATAATATAACTTTGATTCCAAAAATTAATATCATTAACCATAAAGGATCCAAAAAGATAAACACCTCTTATTATATTTTAAATCGTGTTATCTTAATATTATAGTTGAAAAAAACTTTATAAGAGCTTTAAAAAGAGAGGAAACCAACATCTTGTATTTGAAGATTTTTTGTTCAAAATGTTGTATTCTTAACACTAAAAATAAATTATATAAATTTGATGTTAATTTTTTTTCTTAGTTATTCCTCTCCAAGCAAAGCATATAAAGTTTATAATAATAGAACATTTTATCTTAAAAAATTTATACATGTCACATTTGAGAGAAATTAAAATAATAAAATTATTGAGATTTTAGATGATATTAATAAAAAGTGTTTGCAATTATTATGTTAATATGGTGTTGAGATGGTAAACTCATAAAAAACATTGATACAAATGAAGGTATTTGATATTGCTAATAAAATTATCCTAAAGAAGTGCGTTGCTATCAGGCCGTGGATTATACCTTATTGCTTTAAAAGTAAACTAGATGGTCCAGAACTTGTAAAGAACTGGTATGGTGGAATATATATATATAAGAGAAATATTTTACTGTATATCTCATCTCAACATATTATAGTATTTCTTTTCTAATTTATACTTTTTTATTATTACAAGTATACCCTCTGATGTTCGTTGGGAATTCAGTTTTATAATATTTTTTAATTTATTTTTTAAAAAAGTTATCTAAGTCTTATTATTCAGATTATAAGTTTGATGAATCGACTTGGTTGATTAATTTATTTTTTTCTAATTATTTTTTTAATATTGAGTTGATTAAGAATTAAGTTTTGTGATTTATTTTGATTTATTTTTTATAAAGTTATCCATATCTTATAACCGGAGTCATGATTTTAATAGGTTTACTCCAGTTGAATTGAGTAATTCTTTTATGCTATTTTTTATTTTTTAAAATTTTATCTTTCAATATTAGATTGATTGAAAATCAAATTTTATAATTTATTTTAATTTTTTTTATATTGGGTTATCCCAATTTTAGACTTGAGTCACTAGTTTTACAGGTTGACTCAGGTTAGTTTTTGTTATTTTTTAGTTGATTTTTTTTCAATGTAATCCTTCAGCATTAAGTTTATTAGAAATTGAATTTTATAATTTATTTTGATTTTCTTTCTATAGGGTTATCATGGTCTAGTATGTAGATTTTTAGATTAACTCAAGTTAACCTGAATCGATCCAATGCGTTGATATTTATTAAAAACAATCTCATATTAATATTTATTTTAAGTCAAATTATATTTTTACGGGTCATTTGAATTATTTTTGAACTTGTTAAATTAATTAAATCATATCATATTAGTTCTCAGAAACAAATATATTAGAAAAGATATTAGAAATGCCTACATGTTTTTTACATTAATTTTTTTTTTGTTAAACCTACATTCGTGGTACATGCCAATGATTACTATTCACTATGTCACAATTAAAAAATTAAGAGACCGTTTGGAATCCTTTGAATTGATTTAATTAAGAGATTTTAATGAAATTTTATGTTTAAAATCATTTTGAAAGTAAAGAATTGAATTTCATATGCAATTCAATCTCTAAAAACAGTCCAAAAGTAAAGTAAAGAAATTAACGTTAAAATTAGCTTCTTTAAAATACTCATATCTATAGTTTTTTAGAGACCTTTGAAAGAATAAGATGAAGGTGATGAGTGTAATATAAAAACTAACATAACATAAAATAAATTTTATTTCTTTTAAATATGTAAATTTAAATTATTATCGATTGAATTCAAATTGAACTTTATAATTGAATTATAATAAATAATTAATTCTAAATAACTTAATACGAGAATTTTAGGGTCCATTCATTAATATAAAACTGAAAATTCCCTAAATATGCTTTTAAAACTCAGTATAAATTTAGAAAACTAAAAAAATAGTTTTTAAGGATAAAAAAATATTACATCTGAATAATAAACTCTAATTTTTTTTTCACTCTAGTTTATTTATAATAAACTTTAGTTTTTTTCACCATGGACATTACCTCTCTATCTTGTAGTGTGTCTAAGGAGAGTACAAAAAACCTCCGGCTTGTTATTGCTCAAGGCCTATTGTAACAAGTTTCGACTTTGCTACAACATGTTTCTTGGAATAGTACAGTAAAGGCTTTTTTTATATATAGCATATTTTGAAATCTTGAAGGGAAACAACAGATATGAGTATTTTAGAGAAGAAAATTTTAACGTTAATTTCTTTTCTTTATTTTTGTACTGTTTTTAGATATATATATATATATATATATATATATATATATAATTAGGATCCAAAATAAATATTTTTTATCTGGTATCAAAACTTACTAGGATATTTCTAAAGATATTAATATTTACTAGACGTGTCTCTTTCAATCTAAGAATATTTACTAGCATAGAAGGCTGCACACAACTACAATGATTGAGACTTTTAGATAAAAATATTTATTAAATTTTGAAATTTAAAAGTTGTTAAGAGGTAAAAAACAATCCACAATATTGTTTAAAATTATATTGCATCCTTTTTTAAGACCAAACCAGTCTCTAATAATTTAATATCACATAAGCACCCCCCTAAAAAAAATGAACATAATTCTTAGAACTTCACTCAATTTTATCCTTGAATATTTTTTATTGAATCCTCAGCTTCTCGCGCCACCTCCAACTTGATCCTTGATTTTAGAACTTTTCAATTTACCCCTTGGTCTTTAAAATTCAAATTTCTTGTAATTGAATCCATGATTACACCAATTAGGCTTTTAAAAGTTTTTAAACCAAATCTCTTCTTATTCCAAAAGCATTTTTGGATTTTAAAAAAAAAATCTTTAGAGATCTAAAATTAGGTTTGACAACCTCAATCTATATATGATTACATTGATAAGACTATGTGGTCTTACATTTAGTCTTCAAAACATAAAGGAAAAGGTGTTTACATAGTGAATGTGTAAGAAAAAAAGTAGAGACTAAGTAATCTATTAGGTTTAAACATCAACAACTTTATGTCGACTAAGTCATTCCATCCATGCCTAAATGGCCTACACCATCATCCTAAACGGACTAGTACTTACATGTCCATAGGATTAGCCCAAACATATGTATTGTAGGTTAACAACCCCATCTACGATATCATGGACCTTCTAACAACTATTTTTTAGGCTTGACCCATAAGAAGTCTAATACTAGAACACATTATAATACATAGATGAGTTCTAAAAAAGTTAATATGGTATTGCATTC